AGAGTGAACAGAGACGAGCTCAGGAAGCAGTTGAGTGTTGAAGACGATGGAGACGAGGATTTGAGTTGGGATATTGAAGATGATGATGATGATAATAATGTGCCGGTGAAATCGAAATCGTGATTGTTCATCAAGAAAATATCGATCAAGAAACGTACAAACTGGTAATGTAATGAATATGCCTCGTTTAAAGATTTGCTCGTTTTCTCTATCATTCATTGTGTGATGAAGTTTCAGTTTGTTTATTCGATGAATACGTCTTAAGTTTGTTCGTGGGGGATTATAATTTTCTTTCGGTTATTAACTGTTTTAAATTCTCGGTTATGTTGAGCTGAGCCATTTGTCCTGACAAGACTGGGACTGCATTTGTTGTAATTGTGTTTCGTATTCAGAAGAACCGTTGCCTCTTTCGTCTTGGTTATGGTTACGACTACTAAATTAACAAAGAGACACCAACACCGACTCGATAAGAAAAATCGAGACTTGAGAATCTCACCTTTGACACACACACACACACACACACACATATACGATTACTAACTAACGGTGAATTCGGTGGATTGCACATTCTCTTTGGCATTTACATTAATTGAATTTAATTTCTATCAACAAAGGTGCTAGGAATATTCCAACATCACTGCATCCATGAAATCAAGAATAGTAGTATAAAATCAAAACAATCACAACACACAAAAGACAGGTACCTTTTATATATGTCCTTATCTCAAGAGTTGTATAAACTCAGTACCACTCAAAACTTAAATCTTAATCATATGCATACATGTGTATATATAATATGTATATATATATTGCACAAGAAAACAAAAATAAAAAATAATACAAAGCAAATCAATAACTGAATTATTTCTTATGCTTCTTCATTTATTTAGAGATCTCTTCCCGTTAATGACCGATATTCGTCGAAGTTGTCCTGATTTTAACCTTGGCCTGATTAATGTAGTTTACGACCTTATCGTTGAAGCTATCTCTTCTCGAGAAATTTCCAACGCCACCACCACCACCACCACCATTAACATTTGAATAAGATTTCATCATCCTGTTTTTGACCTTGTTGATATAATCGGAAAACTTACCTTCATGCCCATCATCATCGTCATCATTATCTCTCTTCTCGGATCTAGCCTTGGCAAACGAACCATACTTAACTGGTTTTTCTTTCGCCATTTTTTTGCCGCCATTTACGATAAGTATTTCTCTTCCGACAAAGTCATGCCCTTGTTTGCCGCCGTTACTCTTCTTTTTACCTGCAGAAATATGTGCAGAAGTAGGTTCGTATTCAACAGGGATCATTTTTGTTAGGCTCGGTTGGTGCGTAATATGAACTGGTTTGGTTTGGGGAGGAGAGATAATTATTTTGGGCAGATTTTCGATACGTCGATTTTTCGATCTCAAAGGGCTCACTGCATTGTAGATTTTCTGGCACAGCCCTTCAGATTTTCTCTGCTTACTGTTGTGTGCCATTGTTGCTGCTGAGTTTTGAATGCTAATATAATAGATCATGCGATGCTATTTAAAGACGGATGGCGTAATCGTAAATCGTAACGAAGCTGCATAATCTTTTTGCTCTAATTGATTTGCATAACTTTTGAAGGGAGGATTTTTCAACATAATACTATTCTCAGTGGCCCTATATAGATTCTTCCTGCCTCCTTTTTATGGAGAAAAACACAAACTAATTGAATCAAATTAAGCTCCAAGTGTGACGCGACTCGGGTCTTACGTTTGTTGGTTAACGATTTTTGTCACGAAAATTAGCGTAAAAAATATAATTAATCAGAGTAATGGGGTATCAAATAAAACCTCATGATTAGCTGTCTCACATAGATATGGAAATAATTGGGCTTGATTTTCCTGATTAAAAGTCTGGAATCTGATTCGATTGTGCCTCGAAAGTTGAAAAATCTTTTTACAAAGAAACCTTAGTTAGAGGATTGGTAATGTTCGAGACAGCGTAACTAAAGCTTACGAAGAATCCATCTCACAATAGATGAACTGTGAGGAATTGTATTTCAAAACAAGCTAACTATACTTAATGTAATCGAGGAAGAAAATTACTTGGCGAATCAGCGTAACAGGTTATTGCTTGGAAGCAGAAATTAATCTAACGAATATATACAAAAACTAGAAGTTGCATGTCTGTATATAAACTTTGATATTGACTGAAGATCTACAACAAGCTGGCCAAATGTCTTGCAAAACACGTAAAACGGGCCTCGTCCATACGGTTTCTGAATGCAGAATGTTTCTGTGACATCCCTAGTGACCTGGCATGAGAAGTAACGAAATCAATTAGCCGTACAAACTCAACCTCCAAACTCGTAACATATCTGGGAAACTAATTAACCTTGTCCAAACAATGATAAACGGGGAATCTGTTGTATATGTTGGAATTCAATCCAAGATTCGCATCAGCATGCTCGACAAGCTAGTCAAACTAATAGATAGCCCCTGAACCTAAAATAATAAAGATGGTTTTGCTAAAAGAACTTTGAATTTGGGTTATTTTACTTGACATTCTGTTACCGCACCAATTAATTAATTGTATTAATTTGCTTGGATTAGTAATCCATTTTACAAACTCGCACCCGAAAACCATTTGAAGCTGATACTCTCCCCACACGAAAGAAGTCAAATACCTAGCTGTGTTCACTTAATTGATAAACCGACCGAACCGTAGCAAATCGAAAATTCGGAACATGCCAAGTCCGAACCAAAAATTGGGTTTGGTAATCGGTAATTTTTTTGAATTTCGGGATTCAGTACGGTATACGGTACAAATGTCTGGAATACCGTATACCATACCGTACCGAATATCGAAATGTTTAATATATATTTATTTTTTTCTTTTATTTGAAATCCTTTAAGGTTATAACAAATTATAAAATACTTATAAATTGATAGCTTTTTTTTCTTCATTATTTACCAACTAGCCTAGTCTCTATTGATAATCATTTTTTTAATTTTTAGGGCGGATTATTGAAATTTGAATGTCAAATTCAAGAACTAATTAGTTTAAATATTTTTTTACCGATGCCAAACAGGAATTAATTCGGTAAAAAACTGTACCCAACTGAAAAAATGATACACATTTTTGAAATACCAAAATTTCCGTTTATCGAAAAATTCCGGTACGGTTTTACCGAATGAACACCTTACAAATACCATTATAAAATAAAACGACATCGTAGCGACTTATGCAAGCGGCGAAGTCACCATTTTCATGCCAAACTGTTAGCCATCTAAACTTAATTAATTTAGCTTCCAGCCAATGATATCTTGACACTTGGCATCATTAAAAACAGGCACTAGCGGTTAGTTTGTTCGAGGACTTTTAATATTGTGAAGCCGGGGAAACCGAATTCAAAATTTCAGAACACGAATCTGTTATTTACTCCTCAATAATCTTCTTCTTCCTTCTCTAATTCCATTCCTCTCTGTATATCCTTCTCATTTGGGGGTTAGGGTTAGGGTTTCTAGAATTCGTCGTTTTATGTGCGTCGATTGGAAGTCCCAGGTTAATCCGACCGATGATTGTGGAGGCCTCGGAAGAAATGGAGAGAGCCGCTGTAGAAAACCTAGATTTCTTCCGGCGTATTATTGATTGGATCGACGATTTAGGAGAAGCTGTTATACGAAACATTCTCAGTCGGCTGCCGGCCAAACCATTCGCATCGGCGGCGTGTGTTAGCCGTTCATGGAACACTATCTGCAATAGCATACTTTCCTTCCCTAAACTCTCATCTGCCGTCTCTTTTAACCCTTCACTTGAGGTGCTACCTTTTCCCCTTCTTTCTTTATTTCGAAGGATAATTCATTTCCTTGTATTTTGCTTGTGAGCTGAATCAATTTTTTTTCTTCTTCTTTGTACTCCAATTTTGTTATACAGAAAACGGGACTGTCGAATGGTATTAATGATGCATGTTTACTTGGTGAATTGTGAGGTTGATTTGTGAATTAACGAAATTGAGTATGCTTTTCTCATGATTACTTTTTTTCCCCCCCGGTTTTCTTATGAATTATAAGCAATTGAGATTTTACGATTCTAGAGTGGAATGCACCTTGCATAGTGTGAAAGTAGGTAGAAATTTTAGTAGAATAATCTCATTTTTGTTTTCTGGAACTTATGATATTAAGCCCTAATCTTACGATATTTCTCGGAATTTGTGAATTATGTTCGTTAGTCTAAGAGCACTGCTATTCTTACAATATATGCTTTCGATTAACTTGCAGTATTTAACACCTAATCTTACGATATGTTATTGTTCTGTCGTAGCTATGTAACATGACGAGAAGGAAAATACTGTGATAGTTTTGTATACAACCATGAGATGCAATCTTTGTCACTTTTCCAGCATATTTTTAGTTTTCATGTCTCTCTCTCTCCAACAACCTACAATTTCTGTTATGGTGGTAGAAAGCTTTGAACGAGGTTGTGGAAAAGGTTCTGATGGAACCAATTCGCCCTCATTTCGTATTGGCCTCTATTGGTCCCTGCTTTATCTTGCAAGCAGCTCTACGACGGGTATGATTCCCACTTTTCTTGTTCGTGTAGATTTATAGAAAGGTGTGTTGCCCTATCTTTGACTAGATACGATAATTTTCTAAAGATTGAAGGGATATTTGGTTCCAAGATTCCTATTATTATCAATGTGGCTGAGGGAGTCATTGGCAGGGATGTGCGTACAGATAAGTTTGTAGAGGTAATATCCAAGTCTTATGTTGGTTCTCTCTCAGTTAAACGATTCTTACAGTGTTGACCATCTAGGAAGTAGGTTTGATTCCTTAAAGTTGTTACATTATGCTTCAGTGCTTGTTCACTGTTCTAGCATGGTGTAAAATGGTCGTTAATATATTTAACTAGTCGTCTTCATTCTTAACTGGAAGATACATGGGTCTTTTTACTAGTGCGTGAATACTTATGTGATGGATCTTCATTATTGGTCTAGGTACAATGGGCACTTTCGGCAGCAAAGAAGAAATATTCTTGGCCTACTGACACTCAGCCAACAGCGACCTGCGGCATGATATTGACAGTTGGATTTTTGCCAGGACTGAAGGTTCATTTAGTTCCTTTATTCCAAAGTGAGGTAAACGCGGTTTACATAGCTTTCTAAGACAAAATAGTTTTCTTTAGCAAATGAATTTCATTTCAATGTCTGAATGGAATATAGTGGAGAGACTGCATTTTCTCCATCAGCTTATATGAAGGATCTTTGTTGTGTTTCTGATTGTACAAATGATATATGTAATTCCGCTCTATGCTATTGATCAATCGATCAGTAGTTGAATATTTTTTGCTCTACTTTTTAGATATTGACTCGTGGCTTGAAAATATCAGGGACCTCAAAGCCTTTTTGTTGACAAATTTGTTATGGATATTAGAGAAGTTGCATCAGCTGTTTCCCATTCTTCATCTCCTGCCGGAATCATGTTGTTTGCTGTGAGTGAAGTTTTCTTGCATTTTTTCTTGTTTAACTGTTTTCTCCCTTTTCTCTACTGATAAGCCTAAATGATATTTTTTTTTCCTGTGACAATTTTTATGGTTCTTATGTTTTATTATACTTATGAGCCGAGTTCCTTGGACTTTTTCTTGGTTTTGGAATCACTCTTACTGTATATTATAGTCCCCTTCAACAATCGGTTTAGCAAAAAACTGCTCTCTTGTTGTTATTTGGTTGGGTTAAAAGTTGGATGAGTTTAGCAAAAACCACTCAAACAAGAAAATAGACACTCTTAACTGTGCATTGACAAAAACTCATTTGAAAAGCATTTACTTAATTAGAGGGCTGGAAGTTTTGGTAAATTTGAAGGGTTTTAAACACTTCTTACATACTTTGGTAGGCTTCTTAAAAGAAAATAGACACTCTTAACTGTAAGTTTTGTTTCTTATATTTGAATTGAATGATGTGCTAGGACCGGAAAACAAACATCTTACCCGTTCTTCAAAAAACTGGTAAGTAAACTATGTCTAGACATTGTTCTTGCACACACATTAAATTAATCTTTTTAGTGATATAGAGTGTGAACTGAAGTAGAATAAAGGTGCATTAAGTTCCAAGTAATAAAGAAACTTGTATTTTATTTTTCAATATAACAAATAAAGATGCCTTTCTTTGTTATTTATTACTTAGAATATATCGGCGACAATGAAAATCTATCGTTGACACATTTTTGTTCCTTTGTTATATATCACTTAGAATATGCATTTCCCAAGGATACATTCATTGTGGGTGATGGAGGTAGTGAATTAATATTTCGAATCAGTGAAACTACTACCGTGCCACCAGATTCCACGTTTGCTGCAGTTGCCCTATTGTTCACAAGGGATATAAACAAGCCTTTAGGTAGGTCATCTTTTAGATTCATATTTCTGAGACTTGAGAGTAATCACCAAAACTGGTCTTCATTTTATATGATCAATATTTTTTTTTATCTGTGTATAGGTATCGGGGAAATTCAATTTCATGTCATGTTATCAACTGGCGTAACAGCAGTTGGTCCTGTATACAAGATACTCTCTGTTGAAGATCACGGAACTTCAACTTGCTTCACTGCAACGAGAGACACAATTCCTGAGCCTTTTGAGGGTGAAGCTATTTTACATGATATCCTTGATGAGGTATCCATGATTTAAACCTATTTTTTTTTTATAAAATTGAAGGTGCATGTTAGTGGTTGTCGTAGTTTTGCTTAGTAGGTAAAGTTACTCTACGAACTAGTTCAACTTTTTGTTAAGCTAAATCATCTTGTAGTTTACATCTGATGGAAGCAATAAAAAATAACTCGCAAGTCTTGAGCAATCAATAAAACTTTCCTTTCTACTAATTGCTCATGAATATTGAGAGCTAATTTTCAGAATTAGAAAATACTCTGTCAAGGTATGACAAATACCTCCCTCGAGATTTATTATGTAGCTTTACAAACTCTTGATTATTTTCACCGATAGGCTATACTTAAACCTCTAAGACAGTTTTTATACATGACCCTCATAGATATCAAGATGGTATTTGTTATATACAAACTTAGCTTCATTTTTTTTTCTTCTTTGGTAAAGAGGTTAAACCTGAAGTGTTAGTTTTTATGATTAACCTTGTAGAAATTATAAATAAAAGTAGACTGTCAAGCCTCTCGTCTTTGCTCAGCTTTGTAGTTGAGCTGACTTAATATTTAAGCAGTAGTCAGTATTTGTATATGAACTGCAGCTTTTGCCCAAAGGAAAAACGAAAAGAGTTCAACATCTAAATTTTGTCACAATTGCTTCGTTACTGATTCATCTAACAAGGATACCTGTGACAGGTTGGAGAAGATATTATGTTTGCTGCTAAAGCTACCTATATTGGAGTAACAAAAAGTAGAAGTTGCTCGGTTGGGACGGAAAGAGCAAAACTGATGCAATTTCATGAATTCCATAAATTTGAACCTGTGGGGTAATATGCACTTTTTATTACATAAAGTTACTCCTTATTTAAAAAAAAAATCCTTTCTTGTTTTTAAATTTAATTTAGTTTTCAAGCATCTCAGGCATGTACTAACTTTGAATAGATTTAGCTCGGTGAGTTCCGTGATTGAATTTTTTGAAAGGCTGAGGTTTAATTAACCTATCTGGATTTAGTTTTTGTATCTTCTGGAAGGTATAATCTAAGGCCTCGTCTGGTTGCCAAGATAAGCCATGATTAACTAAATAGTTGGACTTAATTTGATGTTTGGTATCCTCAATAAATTGCCGGATCGACCCGCCAAAATTAAATAATCATGGCTTATCTTGCCTTCTAATGAGTTTTTTTTGTTGGACGTTTCAAGCTCCAATAAAATAATTGGGTCTTATTAGATTATTTAATCTTATCTTGGCTAACCTTATCTTGCCAACCAAACGGGGCCTACGTATATCTCTATCCTGCCAATTTGAAACCATAAATTGCATGGAAATGGCAATAGTTTTTGAAAAAGGTTCTCTTACTTAAATAGGATTACACTGAACTTTCCCTCCCGTTTTAGCCTCCAACCCGAGGAAAGACACGGTCAAGTCAAGCCCTTAAAGAACACCATTAGACTAACATTTCTATAGTAGAAAATCCACATAACAATGTAAGACTATGCATCCATGTTTGTTCTATAGTTGACTTGAGATTTATTTTTTCAGACAAAGAACGGTGAAATCATTTGGAAAATAAACCTGCTTTTGCTGATTTAAACTTATTA